TTGAGGATGTCTTTGAGGAGGTCTGGAGCTACACGAGTAAGGACTGTCAGTAGGAACCACATGTGTTACGAGGAAATGCAAGGGCTTCTTCCAACTACTAATTGGAAGCCAGTAAGTGAGGATACAGTCACTAAGACTAACCCATACTGTTCCTGCTAATTCCCATCTTGAACCCTGAGATTGTTTTTGCATTACAGAAACACATGCCAAGCTCCAGCGAAAAGCAGGATTTACCCAACTTCACTGTCAGCCACGTCTCCCAGAAAGCCTGGTTCGCTGAGGGCAAAAATGTTTCTTTGATCTGATTGCAGGAACTTCCAACTTGAGGCAGCTGAAAAGGTCATTGGTTCCTATACCAGACAGTCTGTGTGAGATCATTTCAATCTGATTTATCTCTTCACCACCTTTTTGGGAAGGGTCACAAATTGGGTCTCACCCAATTCCGAGTGGGAAGATTTTTAATACTTCCATTGATGTGGACACAGAAAGATTCTTGTTGATGCCAGTTTCCCACAGCAACCGTTGCCATGGTTATAAATCATTTATTGCCCCCCACCCAGCCTGTTGGCCAACAGCTGAATATAAAGGATGAGTTTACTCTGTGCTAGAGACCATGACAAACACACAAACCCGCTCGGTCTCAAGTTCACCATCAGGCACTGAAACACTGTTGGCTCTTTCATTGCAGGGGCTTTGGGAACTCTCTAAAATAACCAACAGACAAGTGCTCGCTAATGATGAAAACAAACAGTCCTCCAGCTCACAGATGCATTGATCCAGAGGGTCTTAAGCTTGTGTGTGCAGTAATCACTACCCGAGGAACCTAGAGACAATGCCCTCCCTTCCAGGCTCCCGTGGAGCTTAAGGGAAACACGTTCTTCTCAAAGACATAATGCATCAATTCCTTAAGTTATTCCTAAATAACTTAAAAGCACTCATTACTGAGCCAAGGTATTTGAAATAACCTAGTTAACCCCATCTCCATGATTAGAAGAGCTCTGGATAGGCTCCAGGTCTGACCATGACTTCACTTCCTCTCCTAGATAATGTGAGATTCACTCACACAATTCTTAATTGTCTCTTGTACCTCCTTGCTGAGCAATTTTGTATCTTACAGCCAAAACAGAAGCAGAGATTAAGGCACCTGGACAAAATTTTCATCATGCAGAGGCCCAGGCTTACTTCCAAGCAGGATTTACTTTATGATTTCCTTGATTTTTCAAGGGCTGGGTAGAAGGTGGATTTGAAGTAAAGCTCAAAAAAAAGATGCTATATTTCAGGCAGCAGTTGAGTCAAATGCAATCATGCTGGCAACAACCAAACATGTTTTGGCAAGTTATTTCCTCTGCTTGAGTGCAGTGGCTTCCCACACGTTATTTCTGCAACCCCAACAGCAAGTGGATTTCCCTCTCTCCAGCTCAAATAAATGTTTAAACGAACTGAAAAACACCACAGCTCTCACAACATCACAGCTGAGGCATCGTGACACTGTAACTTAATACTACACACTACCTGCTTTACAAAAATCACCTCCAAACCACAGCTCCAGCAGCCCTCCTGGTGAGTCCAGGTGGTCTGCACGCCCAGTTAGAGAGTTTAGGGACCTACATGCCAGAAGGGAGATGGGAAGTCTGATCTCAAACCCAATTCCTAACTGGAGGGCTATGGACACCATGCAACCAGCTGAAGTGGCACTCACCCACTTTTAGCAGACTGGAGATGTAGGAGTAAATTTTCCTTCCAGGGTCAATCATACTGCTCTTTAAAGCAAAACTGAAGTTTTAAGCCACCTGCCATAAATTAAATCACAAAATATCTGTCTTTCCTACAAAGGAGAGTGGAGAGTCTCCACAGCTGTGAGCTTGGACACACCTGCAAGGAAAGAGAGGGTCTGCTATAAGCCTCTCCTTCAGTCCCCTCCTTCCAAGGAGCAGGGAAATAACATCCCAAAGTTTCTAGGAGACTCAGTTTCTAGGAGACTTAATCTTGGTTTAGGCAGCGGTTAAAGGGGCAAAGGGCAAGACTGCACAGAGTCGGTTTTCCTTGTCACCCCACAGTTCTGATCAAGCAAGGAAGGGCCAATACAGTACCAAGCCACTGTTTCATCACAAGACAACCTGAACTAGAACTTGGCTATTGAGCTATACACCATCTCCATCATTTTTATGTGCATTTCTTAGATGTCTACATGCTCGTGTTGCCAGTAACCAGGAATTCTCCAGGAACCAGTTGTGCCTTCTGTATCTTCCCTTCTTTTCTCCCTTTCCACATTATTCTTCTCCTCTCCAACAGCACATTTTGCTTTTGTTTGTTTCTACTTAACCAAGGTCATTGAGATACTATACTTATTTTGGGACAGAGAAACCATTAGCACAAGTAATTTTAAGGATGAATCAAAACTGTGGGTTTTTTAAAAACAAATTAAATCACTTCCCATAGCAGGGAGGGAGGCCAAAAGCAAAACATCCATACTCCTTAAGGCCTTACACAGCCAGCCTTTAACAGACACAGGTGCACGTCCCACTCCCTACAAAACTTCCATGAATCAGATGTGGCACTGAAATATTTAGCAAAGGAGGCAACAGACATTTATTGTCCCAAGTCCTGATGTAGTACTAAGTACTGTAGTACTTCCTTCAGAAGCAGGACCATACCCAGAGGCAAGAACTCAGCAACAATGCAACTGCACCACCCTCAAAGGCACAAGTCACAGGTTGCTCTTGCCACCCAGTAACGTAATGAATTTTGTGGAGCTGGTCTGGCACCCGCTGGCCATCTGTGGTATTGCTCCTTTTTAGAGACAGTTTATACACTTCTACAATCTGGAAAAAGGCCACCAAAAGAAAAACAGCAAACAAAAATCCCATAGGCCCTGCAGTGGTGCCTGGACAGACATTAAATACACATTTGTAAATGGGACACGATACTAGTTGGGCAAATAAAACCAAGAGCACACCTTAGACTTTCTACCCCATTGATTTGCTGGCTACTTAACTGGGGAGGTCTGCCCTGGGCACACCTTGGCTCTTCACAGGAATTCTCATCCAAACTCCAACGCTCCAAATGAGCAGCTGGTCTGTCTTCCTCACTCTCTTCATTGCTCCAAAACTACCAGGATTAGTGCTGGAAGGGAGAATCTACGCCATTTCCAGCCTTTTTCTCCAGACAATGCTGCATCTTTGGAAGATGAAGACACACAGCTCAAACTGTTTTGAGACCTTGGCTTTGTAGATAAATAGTCATAAAGATTAGAAAGTGCACAGAACTGTTAATTATCAGCTCTAAGGTGAGGGCATTTTTGACCAAGGAGCCCAATTGCTCACAGCTGCCAAACCCACACAGTTTCACACACAACAGCTGCTTCAAGGTGACGCAGGCAGAGAGCTGAGGACAGAGTGACCTGGCTGTCATAACAGCGAGCAGGAGACCAGAACTCACCTCTGGTGACCCCTGTCACCAGCTCTCTGTCTGTAACTGAAACAGATTCACAGGATTTTCATGCCCACGAGAACAAAGAATGAACAAAATCTTCTTGAGATGCCTCTGCTATTCCTGCTGACAGGTTCTCCCACAGCTCTACTGCTGGAACAGGTTTGCTCTGCACAGAAATGATGGACAGAGGCAATGCCAACCTTGCAGGTACAATGGGAAGTGGTGGAAAGTTTCCAATGCATCCAAACAGTGCAAACAAGATACTCCGCCCGCTCTTTCAGCCCCAACCCAGGGCTTCTGCTTCGACTTCTGGAAAGGCTGGGATGTAGACACATGTAGGACTTGCATGACCAAAACACAGCTGGCTCCTTGTGTTACTGCACACTTCAAAAGCTCAGCAGACCAGCACTCACCTGAGATAGAACACATCTTCATTCAAACCCCTCTTTTGCCCGATCAGAAGCCCGCCCGCACATAGTAACAGCAGGACTGATTAAAAACTGACACAAGTTCAGCCTAATCTGGTGGCTTTGAGTGCAGACAAGTGCACAAATCTTGGTACTTATTTTCACAGCATCTCAGAACTGAAAAAGATAAAGCCCAGATTTATAAAGTATTAAGACACTAATTTACTGCCAGTTAAAACCCTCCAAAGACCAAAAGCCTCCCCCTGCTGCCCTTCTACCTCCACCTCTCCAAAACCAAGAACATCTCTTCCAGCTTTGTCCATGACATAACCCCATGCACTTCCAGAAAACAATGCAACCCCAATGCAATCCGAGCAGTGGACAAACCAACAGACAGGACAAAAAGGAGACAAGAAATCAGTAACAACAGGTCCTCTGCAGAACATTGTAACCTTTCAGACTGGCTTCCTCCTCCATTAGAAATCTGCTTTCTACAAGCAGCATTTCATCTTGAACCACCATCCATAGCTACCTAACCTCTCTCTCAACAAACACCACAGGACAGGTATTTGGTAAAAGAGATGTATATTTATTCACTTTACAAAGAGGGTGGTATTTAGTTGCAACAGCTCCATTTATAGACAAATATATTATTGTACATTATAGTGGTGAATGGCTCAAACTTTTACCTTGTTTTGCTCTTAAAAATATGTTTGCACCACTTCAGCTTCCATTAGCTGAGCAAATAGCTGTCCTTGTTCTGCCACTGAGAGATTAAAAATCCATAATAAAGGTATAGCCGTGTGCTATGTATTCACAAGAATTCCCCTTCTCATTTCCCTGTGTCACTCCTCTCCCCACCCACCTCAACACGGTCTGTCCTCTGGGTTAGCACTGAACTTATATACAGCCTCCATTAAAACAAAATTAGGAGCCAGTGATAGTTCTAAGGTCCTTTTAAAGCACAAGAAAAGTCATTGATTTGTACATACAAAAATCTTGAGTTCAAATTTGTTAAAAAAAAAAAAAAAGAAAAATACATTTTTAAGTCAGGTTGGCATTTAGATATTGCCAAGGCATGGCTAAGCCAATGAGGGGAGGGAGGGGAAGAAAAGAATTTCAGTATAGAATTTAAATATTACAAAAATATCTTTTTTTTTCTTTTTTTTTGTTTCCTTTAAAAAAAAAAACAAACAAAACAGCAGGATGCCCACTTGCTATTTGCTAACTGAAGCATGGAAAGAAGATATAGACCAGTTGTCTTTGATCCTGAATATCTGAAACAAATTCAATGTAAAGCTGAACCAAGTTTACCACACAAACAGTGGTGGCAGATTTATTTCATTTGAGATACAAATGCATGTCCACATGACAGGCATACTTTGACCATGAGGTGGAAGAAATGTTTCTATAAGTAAGCGCAGGGAAATAGGGCGAGAGAAGGCTGGCACGGTTAAACATTCTGGATTCAGAAATGCACAGTGCCCCACATGTGCCTCTGCACACAGGCCGTGCATGAGACTGCACTCCTGATATGCAAGTACAGCATCTTTCAGCAACATGATCCAGAATTAAAGAGGTTGGTGGCCCACATGTTCAAACTGTTAAAATTATTCTTTCGTGCTGTTATTCTTCTTCGCTTTCATTTTCTGGTTCCAAATCAGAATCACCATTGATTTCCTTTTCAACAGTCATGTCTTGTTCATCAGATTGCTCCTCTTTTTCTTCATCTTCATCCCAGTTTTCCTGGGGAAAAAAATAAAACAGAAACGTTTGAAGCCTTGTCGGTCACACCATTTCTGTTACAAGCAAATGGGAGAAGATGTGGTCCAGCTCCACTTACATCCGAGTCTTTATCTGCAATCATCTCATCATCTGAGCCTTCCTCCTCCGAGGATTCTGCAAAGAGAAAACAATATCTCAGTTTGGAGGACAGGCTTTTAAATTGTGCAAATAAGGCCCAACCCCACATGCTGCCAAGGTCTTCAAACTGTTCTATTTCAATTTCAAAACTAATTCTACCTCAAGATGAGGTAATCAACAACAATTAGGAACAAGTCACTTCTGTTATGCATATACAGTGTGAAGACAGTAGGAAAAAAGCCAAACTGGAAGTGTACTTGCACACACATGGACATCCACTACATTGATGTCTCCCTGACTCAAACGTAGAAGTGCCTTGACTGTATCTACCTTAGAAGAAGGGCAGGTAACAGCAGAAATTTGAGGTTACCAGGTAAGTTAAAGCAGCATACTGAACTTCCAAGTCAGTGATATCTTCATTTGTGAAGCAGGGATGGAAGGGAATTAAAAGAGATAAAAGGAGGGGAAGGAAGGAACAACTAGTTGCAAGATGTCCCCATCATTAGCCACAGATTCTACTGCCATGGACATCCCACAAAACCTCTCTATTTGCAGCCTGTACTATGGTAGATAAGCAGAGGAGCATGATGAACAGCTGCCAAGTGCTGGCTGTCATGTGAATTCAGGAGCTGAGTCACACTTAGCATACAACACTTACCATCCTCATAGACCAGCTTTGCAGTCTGATTAACCTCAGGTACATCCTGAACTGCTTCTGATGCTGCAACCTGAACGGAATTTGAAGATTAGCCTTACAGGAAATCATATACTTCAACCTTAAAAGACAACAAAACTCATAACAAATTAAATGAAGTCTACATCAAGAGTGACACACATTAATTCATTTACAGCAGTAGTTTAACAGACAAACAAGTACAAATGACAAAGTCAAATTTGAGAGGCATCTGCTCTGAAGTGCCTCCCATTTATACCCCTTTAAAACTCTATGGGTCAGTAGTCACATTTGGCAGGACAAAACGTGTAACACTTCCAGAGAGCACAGGCTGACAGGACAGTCCATTAAGTGTAGTGACTGAGCATCACCACTGTCACTGTACAGTTCCCAATGACAGGTCCCATCAGATGCAATCACAACAGGAGGTGAAGTCTGCAAACAATACTCCTGCACATCCCATATTATTTAGTTGAAGCTCACCTGGCTGGCAAGAATGAAGAGTCTTCCATGCAGACGGGAAAGCTTTTGCAAAGTTTTTACTCTGCTCTCCATTAACTGGTATAACATTCCCAGCTGAGGAATAAGGTCTGGCAACTTCAGAGAAGAGAGAGATGAAAAAAATATGAAGCTGTTAACCAACACATCCCAAACATCTTTTTATTTTAAACTACCTCTGTGTGTTTGGGGCAAGCAACCCTTGCTCACATCATTCTAAACAGAAGGGAGAGTTAGTGTTCACGGAAATCACCTGTAGCCTGATCAATCAACACTTGGCCATGTTTAGAAATATCATCTACTTTGAGAAAGTGGCAATTCTTACACTACTCCTTTGCACAGTCACTGCCATATGCAGGTGTTGAAGCACTACTCAGAAAGCTGTGTAAATGGGAACCAAACATACACCAGTGAACAAATGCAGCCTCAGCAACGTGTGCAAGTTCTGAAGCTCATCAATCCTATAATAAATGGGACAAAGAAGTGACAGTGCCAAAAATGCCTTTTTCTTAACCCAGCAAGAGTGCTGTATCAACCACCTGTAAGGCAAGGCTGGACTTCAATGCAGGAGCTATGACATTACTTACTGCCCTGCCACCTTTGGCACACTTTTACCCCATAGATCTAGCCATGCCCAAGATAGTCTCAGGATGAGCATTACAAGAGCAAAGAAAATTTAGTTATGTAAGATTTAGTGGCACAGACTACATTACTCTTTGATGGTAATTTTGTTCCCTCTCACAGGTGTGACATAACTTATCTTGGCCTGACTTTGGGATGGCTATAATTATGTCATGAATGACTGAGACAAACAATTTATCTGCAATGTGTTCGGAAAAAGTGGCAGAAGTATATCCCTCTCTGTACATTGATTTGGGCACTGCCACACATGGAGAGCAGGAGACAGATTCTTGAAGAAAGAGTATACATTTATTTAAGCATTTAAATCTAGTTTTATTTAAGTGCATTTCCATTAATGTAAAATACTTACTGTGGAAAGGTAGGATGCATGTAGGGTAAAAACAGACTTCAGCCATCGAACCATTAGTGAGGCACTGGAAAAAGTAAATTAATTGTATCAAAGAGATACTGGCTGAGAGACACTCATTTCACATTCTAGATGCTAAACAGCTCTATATAAAGTGTTCCTTTTTCATTAGATAAAAAGATAAATGCAGATGGAAATGTAACAGTTTGGCTATCCAGATGAGATATATCAGTGCTAGGAAAAGAACAGACACTTCACTGAGGGACTAAACCAGACGTTTTCAGGGGTCTGTGCTTCTGACATCTTTTGTGGGAGGTCTCAGTGAATAAAAGATCAAAGCATGCTACCTTTTGTCCACCTCCAATGAGGAAATTTATATTTAGAAAAATAAAACCAAAACCAAAACCAAACCAACCTAACCTCCACAATTCAGAACAGCTAGTCTCAGCAGAGCTGTCCTTATGGCAACATAAGATGGGGGAGAAGCTGGTTTTGTTATTAAACAAAATAGCAAGAGAAGTCTAAATACATTTGATAACTACACTTAACAAGCGGATAATTAAATTGAAAATCTGACAGCTATTTTATCTTACATATTGATCAGGTTCACACTGTCAGCATTTGAGGATTTCAGTCACATTCTCGGGATTACACACTTATTTCAGGTATCCTTTTCCCTTTTTAATTTCACTTCAGCCATCCTGAGAAAGCCTTAATAAAAGTTCCTCTTTACACCCACAATCAGGTGAGAGTTTTTACCTCCACATGCTGCAGTTTAATTACAGTTACTGTGGAAGTCAATCACATAGGTGGTGGGAGGAACCCTAACACACACACACACACAAAGTTTCAGGTGAATTACACTGTAGTTGAGTTGTCTCACCTGTATGGGTTGCCCTGCAATCTCTTCGTAAGCTAAAAGGACAAAAAATAGTCAGCAATAAGTAACAAACAAACACAATGAGTTTAAAACCCCAACATTACAACCATGTGACAGCCCCAATACTGGGGCAGAAAGTTCACCAGACATCTGAAGTTTGCTAGAATTAACCACAGCCAGGCTCCAGAAAACTACACTGCTGGCTCTACCATCCTGTAGATGGGCTGATAACTCGCAAAAGCTGAGTTTCATGACTACAAGAAAGCTGTAACTCTTAAGAGGAAAAATATTCAGCAAAAACAAATGCTGGAATAAGTAGAGGGAAATCCCTTTTTTGTATGTTTTTGAGTATCTGCTTAGTAAAGCAGTTGTTATAAGGTGGACGATTTGGGGAAACAAGTGAAGCTAGTATCAGGTAAAGGCCATTTCCCAGAACAAATCTCAAGCTCTGGGGAAGGCAGTTACATGAAGGTCTGTCCACCACTGAGATTATGCAGTCAAACACTTGCACTGAGATTCCCTGACAAAGCTCCCAGGGAAGAAACGCTGCATTTCATTAACGTAAGTTCAGCACTAAGGAAGTGCTGCAAGACTACACATTCAGCACCAGGACATCTGCATAATTCAGTTAAGATCAGTACCATAAGTAAAAATTAAATCTTATTTGTGGCCAGCACATTAAAATACATAAGAAATCTAACCATTAACTTATGTTATAGATGTCATTCACGTAACAAGAGCAACTAATCGACATTCCGTTTAAAAACTAATGTCTAGTTAAGGCTAATCATTAAAATATTTCTGTCCAAACACAGATTTTATTTAATATCACTGAATAAGCAGTTCAGAAGCCAAATCCCTTTTAAAATTGCTACTAAATGATGTTGCAAAGCTTAAGTACCGCAGCAGGGCTTCTGATTATCTTCAAAACAGGAAAGGAATTACCCCTCATTTTCCAAGTGTCTTGTAAACTCACTGTTCTAAGTAGGCATTCTTTTCTTCTTCCTCTCACGTGAGTATCCAGCATATTTATGCTCATATAGCTTGCTCTGGCTAGCACTGCTATTTCCATGCTTCGAATTATCATCCATGTTAGTAGTTGAAAATAAGATGTAATGGCAATTGTTTGCCATGTACTAAACATCCTTTCGCTTAATCTCTTCCATTTCTTTTTCCCACATAATCATTTAAGATATTATTACATGATCTAATGCTCTTCCTATCTTTGACAGCGGCACTTGGTCCTTTGGTTAAGCTTCATCCAAAAAAGATAAAGAGTATATCAGAGATAAATTAAGAAACATTTCTGACTCGTTAAAAGTACCAAACCAATTTCTTTAGTAAAAACAAAGAGACATATCTTGGATTTTCCCCAGCTAGAATGCAAACCACATGTGGCTTGCAGGACAGTACAAGAAGATCAGTCTCTCCTACCTCATGCAGCAGTGGAATGACAGCATATATAGGCATTCTGGCTACTGTGTTCTTTACTATATTTTCCTTTCTTGTATTAAGCACTTTCTGTTAAAGTGAAAAAATACGATCAGAGAATCATTCAGATCCAACATGCATACGAGCAATCAGCAAAATCAAAAATTCCTGGCTTTAAGTCTCTTTTTCTACTCCACTACCTTTGTATGGTAAGATAGGACAATGAGCAAAAGATAGGCTGAGCAAAGGAGTTCCATTTTCCAAGTCAGCTACAATTAACAAAGTAAGACACTCGATTAACCCATTTAAAACAATCTGCCAGTGCCTCTAGCCCACCTGTCCCATGTTAGAAATGATGCATCACAGGCACATTAAAATTTCTCTTGATATTTTCTGTATGACTTCTGTAAATAAATGCCTTTCATCAGCATCAGTGACAAGAAAGTTCTATGTGGTGTCAAAATCTTAACATTTTGGTGCCCCAGTACTTTTATGTCCTCCCAGTCCAAGTGCAACAGCAAGCTTTTCAAGTGAAACTGTTGTCTTCAATGCATTTTTCAAACAGTATCTACTTGAAAACTCAGGAGACTAAACAACAGGTTACACTCCAGCTCAAGCTAAAGGGAAGATCTGAACTGTGACATAACAAATTTATCATAAAAGAAGTGCCTCCTAGTTCATAGACTGACTCAGAAGGCAAGGCAGATAAACAACAAAAAAATAATACTGCCACTATAATTCATAATACCACTGCCTTGAGCAGCAAATCAGCAAAAACCAGCTGGGAGAAACAACAGGATCTTGACCGTTCAGCCTCCCCCAGCTTTCAGGACGGCTCCCCACAAGCCCCAGTGAATACACTGAACAGCAAACACTGAGCTCGCAACACTTACATTTAAGATTTCTGCATCGTTGCTTTCCAAGCCCTGAACCAGCAGCACGGCTAAGCTGTCTGTTTGTGGAAGGCCACCTGGAGTTTTTACTTTGCTCACATCAATATCCAATGCCCCAAGGCGCTCCTCAATGCTCTCCTGCACACGAAAGGAAAATAAGGGCAGTGCTGCTTCAGTGCAGCTTCTCAGAAACATCAGCTGAAAACAAAGTACCTAGCTTACAGCACTCCCTCCACTTCTGATGGGAAATAATGTAAATTTTGCATAGTCTTTTAAATGTACTGATAGAGAATAGCATGAGAAAAGAAAAGAAGTTTTGACTGAAAGACATTAATATACCTTGGCACAGACACAAGTGTGTGACAGAGTTCTGCAACAACCTGGCAAAACTATGGGCAAGGTACACAGGGCTTGAGTGAAGGAAATGTCTCTTCCATACAAAAAGATGGTATCATTAGCCTTTCTTCCATGCCAAACAAAGAAAATTCGAGTTCACCAAAAGAGGGCATAATGATGATTTACAATTCTAGTTTCTCCCTTATTGCTGTGTTTAAAAGAGGAAGGCTTTTACCTCTGTCTCCCCTGGTTTCCTCTTGTTTTTCTTTTTCTCCTTTCCCGAGGCTGGAGTTTTGACAGCTGTACTATGTCCCGGAATGCCAGGCACTAGAACTTTGGTGTCCGAGTTCACAACAGGCGTCTTTACCTAGGACCGAGATACCACATTTGCATGAATTGCTAATACCTTGGGTTTTCTTCCAACTTAAAATACTCATTTTATTCCGAGACTCACACATACATGCTAAAACCAACCTGACGCAACCCATCTTCTTGATATACTAGGAAAATGTGACATTTTTAAGAGCAATGAATAACCTCAAGTAACAGTCAGCTAATTTTCATAAGTAACTAAAGCAGCAGTCTCTTTGGAATCACCTGTAAATCATTTTTCTTACAAGCTTTTGCCATAACATTCATAGAACTACGCCTTTGTATCCAACAACAAATATCTGGACGTTTGCTAGCAATAGATACCACGTGTACCAATAGTCAGCCCCATAAACCGCATGCAGATTAATTCAGCAGCCACTGGAAGGCAGTAACTGACCACAAAAAGCAGCACAATGTAATAGTAAAAGGTAGTTACTACTCATGTCAATCCCACCTATCTTCCTCTAGGGATTGCTCAGACACAGAACTCAGCTGTCTGAATTAGACTATGATGATGGTGACAAACAGAGCAACTTCAGGTTATACCAAGCAAGCTAAGGTATCATCTTCAATGAACACAAAGGAGATGGAATTTTAAAGGCAATATATTCAATAATCAAATGCTCCCCTGACCCACAGAGGATGTAAGGGAGCATGTAACCTCCAGAATTATCAAGAATGCTACCAGCTACTTTGAGAACACTTTTTAACCACAGCACTTCTGTCCAGGCCTTTGTTTGAAGTACCTACCCAAACTTCTGTACTTGTGGAAGCCCTGCTGGGTGCCCACTGAAGCGATACAAATATACTACAAATATAGTACAAATATACTACAGTGAGCAAAGCACCTTCCATACGCCGTGTGTAAAAGTCAAAAAAATCCATCTTCTGGCTCAAGAATTTTAACACAGAACAGCAATGGTGTTAAAATACTGCCCCCTTTGCTCACCACACTCATCACTGACCTTCTCCCCACACGACATGCTCAGACAGCCAAGAGAAATGCGTCTTCACTGGAATTCAGCAAAAAGCGAAACCAAGATGGGTATCATCACTGCATGCCAGGGAGTTCCTACACCTCTCACTGCCATTCAGCTCTGCTACCCACCAGCTCCAGGGCTGAGGAAACAGCACAAAACCCCGCCTGGCTGATGGAGCACCAGATCCAGTAGGTAACTTTAGGGTCAGAAAAACAGCGCTGTCTGCTCACTTCACTGATACTCCAAGCATTTCACATCTTCAAGGCCTTGAATATGCACAATGATTAAGAATTCCACAGCCTGTCTCTAAACACCCAGGGGATCCTGCATGAGAGAAAACAGTGGCAAGTGGCCTCAGTGGACACTGCTGCCATCCATGTAAGTGCCAAGCTCACATTCCCAGGTCCCTGTGAGTAGGAACACATAAAAGCCACATCAAGAAAGAGCCAAAAGGATGTGCCTCTTAAGGTTCCATTACATTTTATTTAAACTCTAAAACAAAGCCATCCCACCTTCACCCCAAACCATTAGGGTCAAAGAGGCTGTACAAACCAACAGACTCCAAGGGAAGGACTGATCTCAAGCAGAAAAACCCCACCAGTCAGTCCTGTCTCTCAAGCAGACCTGCTGAGAACAGGAGGGTCACCGTGTGCCCTCCCACGTGCCAGGATACACAGGAGCCACAGAGTTCTCTTTACACACTCCTGCCTGAGTGCTACAGACATCTGTAGCTATCACTGCAGCTCTGAACAGGTCCATCCAGAAATCCAATCTTGTTTTAAGTGAGCAGTGAATTCTACCATTTCCAAAGTAAAACAAGAGAAGCAACAAAATCATATTTTATGCAAAACTCACCTTCGTTAGAGCAGCATCTGTTTTAAGTGACAACACTTTCTGGATGTCCCTTACTAAACATATGTGGGGTTCACTGGTGTTCAAAGACTAGAAGGACAGGAACAAAACCAGTTAATATATTTGACATTCACACCTGTGATTTATTATGCTACTTAAAGATGAGAACAAATTCCAGAGGTATAAATTAGAATGAACTTTTTTTTCACTCTACAACAGCAGCTCCTTTGCATATCTGCCTTTTGTTACCAGATCTCTATGCTCTCCAGAGAAGTTCAAACAGGTAAAGTGAAACACTATTCAAACCAGTTTCCATGGCCTAACTCAGTAACAGCTGAAAAGGCAACAAACAGCCAGCAGTGACATCAAGCTGTACTCCAATTATAAGAATGGAAGAATACAAATGACCTTTTGAAACAGCTCTGGGGCAACAGTCACAGTTCCCAAAAAAGGGCGAGCAACATGTTTTGTATTGTTATATAATTTCAAAAAAGAAAAAATAAAACCAATAAAACCACAAGTTTCTCCAACTGAGAGCAGTATGCAGTCGATATCAGAGAATCCAAACCCCCTCTGGTAAGTTTAACATACCACTTTCTCTATGACGGGCTGTGAGGTGTTTCCATACACCAGCAGCAGAGACTGTTTGTCCGTGCAAAACGCAGCTGCTAAAATAGGGACTGGTTTCGGTGTGGAGTCCCCCTCGTTTCCAGGTGTTGCTATCTGGATAGTACAGTTTGACGTTAAGGGTTTTTTGCAATAACTGGGGGGGAAAAAAAAAGAAATTAAAAAATTTCAAGAGGTTTAGCTTGCACACTTCAGTATCCTGCACATCTAAGCACCTTTCATTAGCAGGTACTCAGCAAACTCAGCCACTTTAAAGCTTTTACAGGTGGCTAAGAAGAGGCACAGACACACAAAATCTGGTCTAAAGCCACACTTAATACTGAAGTGCAGCACAGTCACCAACAAATGAGTTCTCGAAAAATGTGTCCAGCAACCCAAGACAAAGAACCAGCTGGTTTGCAGCAGGTTTGCAGCAGGTTTGCAGCAGATACAAGAATTTAAAAGCAGCAGAATAAGAAAACTGAACTTTCTCTTACGGTGATCTTCACAAAGATACCCTCAAGAGGAATACCAACTTACCCATTTAAGATATGTTCAAATAAATGCAACTGCCCATCCCTGCACACAACTGCTAACTTCACAGGCTGAAAGAAAGCACAGTAACAGAGTTTAATTAGATCAAAGGACAAACCTCCTGGAAGTACAGGACATCAAGGGACAGTTGCACAGCTACAATTTGACTTTTTTTCAGTACCTAAGCACGTTAAACTAAATCTGTAAGGAAGATCAAAACCACAACTCATGAACACTTAGCAGAACTATTAAGAGATAAAAATACAACTCATAACTGTACTTTACTGTATCACTACTAATACATGCCAATTTGAACAGTTTGCACACCAGCAGACGTGTCTAGAGGCACAGGCCTACAAAGGCACTGACGCTGTAAATATGCTTAGAGGAAAGATTTGAGTCCTCTGAGCAATTCAGTGACAGGGGTACATTATGGAATACTCTCCAATACATGTAGTAAGAGGGAACAACTGGAAACATTAGAAAAAGAAAGCATGAAATACTCTTTTGAGAAACAGAATCTAAAGACAGCAGGAGAAAAAACGTTTTAAATAATTAATGAAACAGTTTGTTAACATGTTTTACATGCACATATTTTTCATAAGGCAATTACTTAGAAAGATCTGTCCTTGCTAAAACTGAGACTTGGGCAATGCACATTGCTACTTTAACTCATTAAAGGCTAGTTAATTCCAAATGCAGTTACACTGCCAAAATCACCTGAAATCATAAACAAACAGGACATACTCAAAACAGATTTTTAGAAATAATCTATTTTGTGGTTTTTTTCGTGCCAAGTTCTAACAACCACTTCGATTAATAACTTGTTCTAAATAGGAAACAACTGACATTTCCACCATCATAAACAAAATTTCTGAGAAAAACCACTGAATTTGCATTTAGTGGCTTTGATAAGGAGTATTTGAAACTATCAGCTTTATAAATGCACCTGTAATAAATATTCTTATACACGTGAATTGGCGTTTAGACCTCATCTCTGCCTAACAGAACCTAAAATACAAACAAAGCTTCTTTCTTTAGAATCTTAAATGGAAACTGATATGATAACTCAAAATTGTTGAACACATGGTTACAGACTACTGCTCCTACCTCTTCTTTGACTTCTGATACAGTCAGGTCAACAAAAATTGGTTCATCTGTTACTGCAAAAGACATCACAGCATTCTTTTCTTTTCTATCTGACCTGATCTGCCTGGAAGACATGAACAGCACACGTTATGTAGCACAGCACAAACAGGACTCTGCACTTGACAAGCATTATAAATCCTATAAATCACTAGCATCTGTGGTAGTATCTACCACATCCAAAAGTATCCTGCTGACATTTCAATTTTCAGCTTAGAAAATATTTTAACTTCCAAGTGCAAAGTAACTCCCAAGTGAAATAGAGCAAAAAAAACTTCACATAAACCTTACAATAAGTGCAAAGAACAAGGAATTTTATTACACAGTATGTTCTGGCACACAGTGGTGATACAAATGGCAACTGGAAGCATGCTCAGACACAGCCAAGGAAAATCACGTCTTCACCCAACAATCAGTGAGTCGAAACCACCATTTAAGAGATCATCACTGCATTTTTCCAGAGTGCCCCTTCTGCTTCACCTTCTGTTTAATCAGAGTTCAGAACACACTTGGTAAGTCTATGCTCAATACTGATCACAATTAAAAGTCACAAACAATGAAAAGCTTACATACCATACACTCAATAATCGGTCGTGTATGGCTCCAGACAAGAAATAAAGTCCTGTAATCCCATCAAAAGGTATACTTTCATTCATAGGTTTCACTGTGGTAAACATTAATGATGACACTGATGTAGCATGGCCTGTGAAATGCTAAGAGAAAAAACAGGATTTTTCAATGATTGTCATAAGCAGTCTTACTGCAAAAACCAAAACATTAGTTAACAAAGAACACTAGGAAAGATTCAGGTGTCAACAAGGACAACTCAGTGGTGTCTTCAACTTCCTTGCATTTCTGTATGTCCGGTCAGATATTTATCGGCATTTTAAAAGTTAAATGGGGAATCAAAGGCAAATCCACTGGGACTAAATCCATGCAAACAAAATCACATCCACCTGTACTACTGTTTCTGTCACAATGCACTCCCCTCTGCCCCCCCAGTTTTACACTTCAACTTTTACAATGAAACTAGATTCTTAGTTTCTGTCTCAACTTTAAGAATGGACACACAGACGTGCTGACACACTAAGTCTGTGCAACACACCACCCCCAACTCCCCCCCCCCCCCCCAAAAAATGGTTTTTCAATCTACTTCTGCAAATAGTGGTTTTGGTCATCATAGGATGCAGACATACACGGTAGTTGCCATGAGCCAGCAAGACCACAGTAAGAGCACATGTGCACACACTCACCTGACAGCAAATACCAGGAAATTCAGAGGCCAGCTGTGTCCTATCTGCTGGCAGGCAAGAGAACATGGCTGCATTCAGGGATCACCTAAAGCCTGGCTATTTGCTCATGTCTGAGCCCTGCCCAGGGAACAAGGATTTCACTCCTATGCCTCCAGTTGTTTTAACAGCAAAACTGATAATGCCACCACTTACATGAAGTTTAGCAAGGAAACCTGAAGGCTTCATGGAGGGACTCATGTTACAAGTCAGGGAGCTCACAGACAAACCTAAGCCAGCAGTAACTGATACAGTGGCAAACTAAGTTCTCCTGCCAGAAAGGTATCAGGCAGGGAGCCAGTGAAAAAGGACAGCATCCATCTTTCTCCCACAGGCTTGAGAAAGGATGCTAGTAGCATGCCCAGGAACAGGAATTTAATGTCCTCATTCAACTATCAGGAAGTTGAAACCACAGTTTAGGGTATCATCAGAGCAAAAGCTTCCAGAAATCCTGAAACTGCCAATTGTCTCCTCACACACAGTGAAACTTTCAGATGTCCGATCAGGGAACACTTGGTAAGTAATGTCACCAATCAAGAAGGGTATTTTTTTGCATCTGTTTTAACAGAGGTACAGAGGTACTTACTCTGTAGACTTCTTTGGTCTCCAAGTCCCACAGTTTTATAGTTCTACCAGCTGACAGCAGCATTTTTCCATCTGGACTGATGCATAGACAGGTGACACTGCTATTGTCGCCTTTCCACTTACTAGAATTTGGATGGAGGGGTTTTTGTACAAAGGGAGAAAGATGGAGAAACAGAAAAAACAACATTCATTAGGATAATCTCAAAATGCACAACCACTATGATGGAAAATTTAAGGTAAAATTTAAAAAATAGTAATTTTAGCAGTCAAAGATGAGGTCAAGGCTATGCTGCTTCTGCATTTTGCAGAATTGGTTTACAAAAAACTGCAACAACTCAATAATATAAAGCTATTTAATACTGAACTGTTCCTCTCTCAAAGTTCTCTACTACTGAAAATAGGGCAAAAAGAGCCATACCATTTTCAAGACTCCTTTGTGCACCATAATCCCAAAAGCTTACACCAATCCATTCAGAAAGGCCTTCTGAACACTAAAATTCAGAGTTTCAGAGCCCATTCAGTTCCTGCCTGGCTCTCCTCCCAAGGCTGTCAATGTCACTGACAAAAACGAACTTCACCTTAATGGTCTGTTGTTCAAAGCACTATTTAAAAATAATTAAAAATAAAGGTAAAAAGGGAAAAAATAAAGACAGTGTCATGAAAAGCTTGAATCTGCTTTGAAGGAATACGAATACTACACGTTGCTCACAGGACAAAACTGCAAGGAAAGCATGAACACAAACCCTTTACAGTTTGGACGTAGCCTGCAACACACCACATTCTGATTGTAAACAGCTGTTCTGGGAACACCTCCAAATAACTTTCACATGCCCAAGCAATGCCTATCCTGTCTTCCAAAACAGAGATCATTTGCTGTATCACTTTTGATAGAAGCTGAAACTTTTACAGCCCACAAACCTGACAAACAGCATTACACCTTACAGAGAGTATGACATGATTTTGTATTCTTTTCCAAAGAAGAGGTCAAGACTAAGAATTTCAAACCCTTTAATAATCTAAACCAAGATGGTATTTTTAAATGTACTAAAAAGACGAGACTGGAGTAGACTGCAGAGAATATAAGACAGAGTAAAAATCTGTTGGTTTTCAGTTTGGATACTCTTCATATAATTTAACAGGAAAGAGTTTTAAACAGGATCTCATAAAACAAGAAGCTGCATAAGATGTCCAGAATGCCTCTGGCAGTAGTCAGAGTACTTAGGACATGAAAAAGCTACAGAGAAACAAGAAGTCATCCAGAATGTTTCACACTACCTCTCTACAACACCTTATCTTGCCTCTCTCTCTTCCCCAACAGCTTGTCCCTCTGCCAAAGGTTTCATGTGTGCTGCACAGACCTCCTGAAGTGGCCCTACGGAGTACTCCTACAGTAATTAGAAAAGTCAAGACTAAAGGCATACGGTTTCTATTCCCTGTCTAGCAGTCCACACCTCTACAGAAACATGTCTAGAAGCCTGCAAATGAAAAAAAAAAAAGAGGTTGAATACTGCTTCTCTATGCCAGGAGCAACCATCCTGATTTCTCTGTGGGTTATGCAAATACTAATTTCCAGGTCCTGACAAGTGTTAAAGAACGCAAGCGCTCACGTGGACATTGGGCATAAGCAACTATTACAGATATTTGTTCCTTCTAGTAGGTAAAATTTTAAGAGAATTGTTTTCTTCTACTCTTTCCAATTTCAGCCGCCTTAGGTATGACATAATATTATCAGAGAAAATCTTCATATAAAAGCCACGATGTTATACGGCTCGTGTACTTCTAATCTATACACTCCAGGACTTATTTTCTGTTGCCATCTTTAAAATGAAAGAACACAATGCCTCTAGTTACATTTCACAACCACAGCCTCCCCCTCTGTGGTCCCTGGTATGGGACAGGAGCAGAGTGAAACACCCAAGAAGCATGACAGCAGAAATTCTCACACTTCCCAAGAAAGCAGCATGTCTGGGACCCATCTCAAGTACTTGTACATGAACACACACACTGTGGAATACAAACAGAGTGAATTAGATGTCCATGGGCAACTTCACAGCTTTGATCTCACTGGGCTCACAGAACAACAGCTGGATGCCTTGCAAGACAAGGATCTTTACGAAGGCACTTCAGGAACAACATGCCAGGAAGGCAAAGAGAAGAGGGGAGTTTCTCCACATAAAAAGGTAGCATGAATGCACAGAGCTTTCCTCTGAAACAGGCAAAGGGCCACTGCAGAACTTGCAGGTATGAGAAGAGATCAACAAGGGAGCAGGGGTGCACATCTGTTACAGACTGTCCAATAAACAAGAAATTGATAAATCTTTGTAATCCCAGGCCCTGGCTCTTTTAATGGGCTTTAACCACCCCAGTAACTGCTGGAAGGGCAGCACAGGAGTGCACATGCAGTCCAAAACTGCTGGCAAGTGCTGAAGACCTTTTCTTGATGCAAGTGCTTCACAACTGTACTATGAAAGGTGACTTTTACTGGATCAGCCACTCAAAAGGGAAAAAAAAAGCACTACAACCTCCAGCTATAGCAACCACAAGACAACGGAATTCAGGATCCTAAAAAAACAAGAGCAATATAAACAGCAGAATTACAATGCTGGACTTCAAAAGAGCAGACTGCAACTTATGCAGAGAACTGATTGGCAGGATCACACTGGTTGGCTGCCCTCAAGCAAAAAAGGGGCCCAAGAAAGCTGGTTGTTCTTCCAGGATAACGTCCTCAAAGCAAAAGAAGGGTACCCTCCAGTGAGCAGGAAATCACCAGTTACTGCAGAAGGATGGCTTGGCCAAGTTGGCAACTCCTGACTCAACTCAAAAGAACAAAAAAAGAAGTATGCAAAAGGTGAAAGTCAAGATAGATTACACAGAAGAATACAGAAATATTGTCCAGGCATGCAGCAACAGAAAATGCCAAAGCTTAGCTGGTGTTCAAGCCTGCAGGGAATATGAAGGCCAACAAAAGGACACCTACACATAGCACATCAGCAGCAGTAAGATGATGATTGAGGAAAGTGCAGAGCTGATGCTGAATGGTGTAGGAGCACATTCAGTACACAGAAAAGGCCAAAGCACTGAAGGGCAATGTCTTGCAGGCCTCCTATGTTCTTGAGCTTTTGCCAGAGCCAGAACTAGCACCCACTATAGTGAAGGGACATCAAATTAGGGATCACAGCATTAAATTCTACACATGTGACTCCTTAAGATTGAATGGGATGCATCCAGAACTCCTAAGACCCTGCTACCATTTTGAGTAGTCACACAGGCTCAGGAAAAATTTCTGATGACTTGGAAAAAAAAAAAGAGAGGAGACAAAATATATCCACAGAAGGAGAATCCAGGAAACAACAGGGAAGGTTATAGAACAAATACACCTGGAAGCCATTTCCAGGCACTGAAAGGTCAGAAGAGTCACTAGGCACATCCAGCATTGATTTATAAATGGCAAATTGTGTCTAACCAAACTGATTGTCTTCTTAGTGAGACAACTGTCTTGGCTGATGGGAAGAGAGCCATGAATGCCACTTAACTTGACTTCAGCAATGCTTTTTACAATGTCTCACATAGTATCCTTGCAGCCAAATTGGACATACAAAGCCTGAATGGATGGGCTCTAAGGAGGGTAAGATCTGGCTGCATCACTGAGTTCAAACAGTTGTGATCATTGGTATGAAGACCAGCTGGTGGCCAATTACTGGTGTCACTAAGGACATCCCAATTCTGCTTAATATCCTCCATAGTTGCTCAGGTCTTCATTAATGATCTCAAAACAGGACAGAATGCACACATAACAAGCTCACATTCAATACCAAATCAGGGAGAGCAGCTGATATCCTGGAGGGCAGGCCTGCTACTCAGGGGCATCTCAGCAGGCCTGGGAAGAAACAGGCTGTCAGAATCTCAAAGCTCAAAGGAAAATGTAAAGTCCTGCAGGTGGGATGGAAAAACCCCAGTACAAATGGCTGGGGACAAATGGCTAGAAAGCAGCTCTGCAGGAAAGAGGCCTGTGGTCCTCATGGGCAAGCTGAACATGAGCAAGCAGGGAGTCCTTGTGGCAATGAGACCAACTACATACTGATTTGCATTAGCCACAGTGTCATCAGCAGGTCAAGGAAAGTGATTCCTCTGCTCTGTGTAATTCTTTTGAAACTGCATCTAAGCACTGCATCCAGTCTGGGGCAGTACAAAAAGTCACTGATGTAGTGGAGTAAATTCAATGTACGGCCACAAAAGCAGCTTAGGGACTAGAGTACATAATGGAAGAGGGAAAGATGAGGGAACTAGGTGTGTTTAACCCTAAAAAGAAAAGGCTAGAAGGAGATTTTGCAGCTGTCTTCTGGTACTTTACGTCAGTGTCTCAACATAATGCAATCTAAGGATGCATGCCTTTTTTAGGGAAATCTAAGAGGCTACTGACGATGGGCTGCCTGCAGTGCTCACACCAACCTTAACAGAACCAAGAGAGCTGCAGTGATAAAACAGCAGGAAATGTTAAGAAATAAAAATAAAATCAAGAGAAGGATCAATGGGCCATCACATACTAGGCTTTTATTGAAGAAAGATAACCAAGATCGTTAATAGAAACTTTGGGTTCTTCTTTAAAGTCTAAAAACAGGTTGACTTTATTACAAAAGAAAGTAATTGCCCACAACAGACATCTTGTTACTCTGTACTAAGCTCTATTTTGCTCAACAGTACTTTCAACAGTAGCAGCCTGCTCAGACAGCCAAGTGGAACTGTCCCCACTGCACATCAGTAGTGAGCGAAACCAAGTGGGTTATCATCATAGCAAGGCCCTTTGAGCAAAGCCAGGTGCATGTAACAGGTTTAAATGGGATAAATGAGGTCTTACAGTATCTGCTGCACTCTATTTTTGAGGATTTTATCTAGAACTTAGGTTTTTCATCATTTAGAGCAACATTTAGTCTTTCAGTCCCACTAAAAGTTAGTGTGGAGGGAACCAAATCCCTCTCAATTTCATCTAGTCCTTCCAATACACAGAGGATGACAATTACTCTTTCAGCCCTCAATAAAACCACTTCCAATCTCGGAAAAATAATGGCCAACAGTCAATTCTGCACAGTGGGCATGAAGCCTGGATAGCAGAGTGCACCACTTCCAAAGGGGCCTCATTAAAACCTGCAAGGGAAGAAATACACAAAAGTAAGTGCAAACAAATTTGCCTGAAAATCAGCATCACTCACCATTTTACTTTGCAGGTCTGTGTGTTCCATTCCACAATGTGTTTGTCCTCTGAACAGCTATACAAGCAGCAGTTGTCTTGATGCCATCTTACACAGTTTACTCTACTGTCATGACCACCATCCTACAAAAGGTAAGAGTGTCAACTCACTGAAGACTACTGAGTCTTCCCCACTCCAACAATGTGAATAAAGTGCTCTTTCAAGAATTAAATTCAAATCATTAGCAACTTGAAGAGTGTGTGTGGTTTAAAAGACCAATATACATATAAATTTATACAAATTAAAGATATTTCATATTTTGATACATACACATAAGTATTTTGGCTTGGTTTATTCAACCTAGAGAGGATGAAACTGAGGCTAGACCTCATTGTGGTCTACAGCTTCCTCACAATGGGAAGTGGAGGGGCAGGCACTGATCTCTTCTCTGTGGTGACCAGTGACAGGACCCGAGGGAATGGCAAAGCGGGGCTGGGGGGCGGTTCGCTTGGATATTAGGAAAATAATCTCCAGAGGGTAGTTGGGCCCTGGAACAGGTTCCCCAGGGAAGTGGTCACAGCACCAACCCTGCCAGAGTCCAAGAAGCATTTGGACAATGCTTTCAGACACACGGTGTGATTCTTTGGGTGGCCCTGTGCAGGGCCATGTAGAAGCCAAGAAGATCAGGGGCTAATGTGTGTCTCAGACACCGAGAGCCATCAGAGAGCCATGGAGCCCACCAAGGATTGTTGGTAAGAGCACAGTGTGAGAAAGAACAGGATGTGGATGGAGAAGGGGGCCATGTGAAGGCAGGGCAGCACTTTTCTGGGACAAACGTCCTTGTTCTGGCTCCTGGTAGTAAGCACAACACAGCACAGCCCAAGTGTGGGAATGAGGTCAAGAAGCAGGCACTGACTGATGACCAAAGGCCCACCTAGTAGGGGGGATCAAGACCATCAAAGACCCCCAAAACCCTCCAATCCATTTCCAGAAAGGTCTAGAAGAACAAACTGTACATGGTAACTGAACAGCACACAGAGTGAGAAACTTGGCTCTAAGGTAGGGAGAACTTGTGTATAAAAAAGGACCCCCACAAAGCCCAAGTGGCACCCCCAGGACACTGGACACCCCATCAACTGGACTGATGCTGGAGCCAGGACTGGTGATCCATCTTTTGCTCTTTCTCCCGCTCTTTAATCTCTTTCTTCTCTTTCACCCTACCCCTTATTCAAAATCCACTGCCATGTTTTTATACTAGAAGAGACTAACTTATACTGATTTCCATGCCAAGTGTGTAATTTACTACTAAGGTTTTGTGGACCCTCTGACTTCTGTCATTCCTTTTCAACCACAAGCATCTCTGCACCTGCATGTTCCCTTCTTCCCTTTCAGGGTGAGATGCCACAGGAGAGGATTTGGGCCTTGGTGATCCCTGTGGGTCCCTTCCAACTCGGGATATTTTATGATTCTGTGATTTTTCTAGGACTTCAGAATTCACAAAAAAAATTGCCCTGCCTACTATTTTTATATACACAGCCAAACAAGGCTAACAGCATCAAATTTACTCAAAGGAAAGGCTAGCACAGGCGTCTTCCTGACAGTCATCTAAGTGCCTGCTTCCTTAAGGGCCCTCAGAAATGAGGAGCCTCCCCTTGTAGATCAGCATTCAAGAGCAAGCTACCATCAGATCACAAGGCCCTGTAGGGGGTATCACTCACTCCTCTTAATAACCAAAATCTTTGCAGCTCCATATATATACCCTTCAATCGTTTATGCAGATATTTCATGGAGTTTATAAAATTTCACTATTTAGACTAGTAACAACCTGCTCAGACTACTCCCAGAAGTGTCACTGCAAATCAGCCTTGAGCAAAACAAACTACATTGCAGAAAGATATTCTGTTCAATAAGGACAGCTAAAAGTAATGTCCCTTATTCTAATAACATTAGTAATCTTTTAATTTGACCTACCTATAAAAACAAAGTACTCATGAAATAACATCTGCTCCTACAGAAGAGCAGTCAGCGTTTTCAAACCAACTGAAACTAAATTTTAACCTGAAAACATCTTTATTTTGCTCATAGTTTTCAAGTATAGTTTTTCCATAAAACAGAGTTGATACTCATTAGCTACTGTGCTTTCTCTAAATTCATGTACATTTATCACTGTACATATAACTAACAGTTTAGAAGCAAAAGTATGCCCAAGTATCTCAAAATACTGCACAACCATTCATGTGGATTTATTTTGCTTGTTATGTAACCCAAGACTAAAGCCAAGGTACTTGGAAGTAATGGGGACATTATCAATTGGAAAGGTAAAATGCAAGTCATCTGTATCATTCATAAAAGATAATGTGCTTAGAGAGCTCTAAAGCTTCCACAAGGGAGGTAAGCTTATAGAAAAGTTCATCAGTGTGACACCTTCCCAAGCATTGGATGAGTACTGTCCTTCTCTCCAACAATACCATGCAGCAACTGAGGGTATGACACTTCCACAGAGGACTTAACTCACCAGGTTAGGCATTTCAATAATACCATTATTTTTAATGCAAAATAACAAATCCATGGACAATGTTAAGATATTGCATTAACTTCAAATCCAGGATTTTTCAGTCTAAACTGGCCGAAACCATCAGTATTTGGTAGCATGTGATGAAGACTGTATTACTTACTAGCTTGCTCTGTAATTCTCCTTTTACTGTGCTGTACAACAAAATGCTACCAACTGCTGTACCGATAGCCAGGATATCTAACTGCTTCTCCACTTCTCCAACTTCAGACTTCCGTTTTTTCCTCTGAGGGCCATCCTGGAAAGAACAAAAAAAGAGAAACCGTAAAATTAATTAGTCTGACTGGCTAATCACAGTGGTAAAGCAGAGGGGGAAAAAAACTTCCCTAAGTTTGAGACCCAGTCAGACACAAAATGAAGACACTGAAGTGCACAGAAGCCTAGAGATTCATATTGTACCTCAATGTACAAGGTAACAAAGTTGCTTTGAGTCACTTGGAAACATCTGGTGGAGGCCATTTTGCTACCCTACCAACCTTATCCATGAGGGGAGGAAATACATTCAAGTTTTTCACAAAGTTCCTGTCCCAGAGGCAGAAGATTAACACAATCAGAACACTTCACCCACAAAATGTAAGTGATTATGATCTTTTTTGTTTGTTTGTTTCTCAAAAGCTATTCAGAAGAGTCTTGCAAACATTAACTGTTCACAATGCTTCCTATAAAAAAAGTACTACCCTACTCCACAGAGGGAAATTACAGTACTTGAAAATAAGTGCTCTGCCCAGGTCCTGTTGTCAGTACCAGAGGTCCTCCTACGATCAGGCAATTCTTAAATCTTCAATCCCTTGCTCTACAAGTGCTATCAGCCACTTCAAGGAGGGATTTTACTTCATCTCTCTTAAGCAAAAACACATGACTGCAGCACATCACTGGGAAGGGGAAGAGGAATAAAACTGGCTCCTGCGAAACTAAAATAAAGAGGGCAGAAGAAGCCACTCCATTTAAGCTCACAGGGTTAATCCCACATAACCAATCACACACACATACAAATGAAAAAAAGAAAATAAAAACACTGTTCAAGGACTTCAGAAGAAAAAAACATCTCTAATGCTATTGATAAGTTTTTTAATTGGACGTAAGTCTTTAATTGGAAGTAAGTCTTCCTACATTTGTTACATTGCAGCAAAGCATTCTCTCCAATTTAAAAATTATATGTAAACTAATGCTTCCTCTACACAACAGGTCTACTTGCACTGACAAGCAGCCAGAAGAAGCCAAAGGAGACTGATATAATGTGAACAACCAGCTCTATGAAAGTTCCATGTGGTGTAGCTCATCTGCCTTACAACAGACATCACACAGTGAACACACATAATCTCTACTCAGAACCAGACATATAATGACAATCGGGATTTGGGAGTTTTCATCACAACCAAGATGTACAAGTTTAACAGTGCAGGATAAAAACTTTGGTTCTTTGAAGCATGACTTGCTTTTTCTCTGTATTTAACACAGGTACCTGCAAGGAAAAGCATCTTGGTTTAGGCCAAGAAATACCAAAATACAGATAACTTTTATATCAAAAGCAGGCTCTTGAGAAAAATTACACTGCAGTTTTTGCAAGTATTAGTTTAGGCTTCATCTTTCCTTGGAAAGAAAAGTGTTTTTAAAATATTACAAATACAGATGCTGAGAAACCATCACAGTTGCAAAGCACAACCAAGTAAATCAAGCAGGTTTTAAGAGAAAAGACTAAACTACTGGATTCTGAGGCAGCAATGACAACTAAGCGATTTTGAAATTGCTGTCTGACATGCAAAGGCAAGGGCCAAAGAGAGTGGAGATGAAAGTACAATTTATGTGTTTTCTGGTACTTTTTAATCTCTTTATGTAGTTTTACTACTTACCCCACACACTGCTAGGGCAAAGCAAAATCACAATTAAGAAGAGATTTATTCTCTTCCCTTGCATAAATCTTTTAACTAAAACTTGTTCACCCTCCAGTTTGTTATGGCCAATTTCCCTTGGAACAACCCAAAGGTACACCAGAATTCCCACTAAAGTGCACAGTTATTTCCAGTGCTGAGAAAAAAGCAAGAGGCAGTGAAGGTTCCTCCTGAAGTCAAGGGGTTTTTTCACATGCATTTCTTTACTGACCATCCTTTATCAGCAGTATGAGTGGAGTATTTTGTCAGAAATTTTTGCATGAAGAAATGCCAGTGGAAAATTCAGACACCTGTTAATGTCTGAGATGATTTGAGAAAACACTCTAAGAACTATTAAAAAAAAAAATCAATCAAACTTCTCTACCCAGCATTACATTAGTCCATAGACAGTCTGCCAACTGCAGAAAACGTGGGATTCACTTATGGATCAGGGTCTTAAAAAGAAGAGTACCCTGTTCTCATGGACAGGATAGGGGAGCTGAATTATACTAAGTATCCTTGTCATTTGATTTCTCTTTCCATTTCCATTTCTCTTTCTTTTCCATTATTTATGGAAGCTCAAGCTTATTTAGAAATCCTTCAACTTTGCCTAAAAAAGCAGTGTTTTAATTAGCAGAGATGGTTAAAGGAAGTTATTTGAAAAGGAACTGTGCATGCATTTTCCCCTAATGCTCTTACTTCACTAGGTAAGCCACTGACTTTTCTTTTTAAACAGAAATCCAATCTCTGCTGCTGTCATGTGAAATAAAGCACTTAAATCACCGAAATGGGGATAAATCTAAAGGTCTTGACAGTTGATGATGATGGAGCAGTTGCAGCTTGTTAGGAAGAAAGTGGAAGGTATTTTGAATGCTGGAGGTGCACTCTTGCACAAGGCACCACATGGAGCAGCAGGAAATGAACACTGCACGTGGGAAGCACTGACACTGTGAAAGCACATGGGCAGGGAGCATCCCAATAAGCCACTCCTGCATCAGCAATTCCAGGGCCTGCAGTTCAAAACTTGATTTCCCCTGTAACACATGGCCTTCCTTAACATGGCAGCAGTCCAAAACATACTTACTTTAGGTGTCATTAGGCCAAACACCATTTATAGATATCTACTGGCACAGTTTTACCCCTGAACACTAAATACTAGTACTACTTAGACAGATGTCAATTCTCCAGCAAAAAATAAGACTAAGTAATGTCAGAAAACACACATTTAATAAAATGTATTTGGCAGAACCATCAAAGCTTTAGTTCTTCAGCTCAGTCTAAGGATAAACCAATGATTTACAAAGGTTTATGGCACCATTATTCCAACAAACAGCTCCAGCTCCACTTGAAAACATACCAACTTTCAAGCAGGGGACAGCACTCAAAATACTGGATTAGAAAGCACTGAGAGGTGGCCAAATGGTGTCTGA